AATTGTTTCCCCAATTCTGACCTTAATCTTGCTAGGAAGTTGCTTAGAAAGATCGACCTCTACCAGAACCCTAGCAGTGTTCAAATATTCTGCCTGAACTGTACGCTCGTCCATTTTGATAGGTATTCCAATAAGCCTCGTAATGGGAAGAAGAGCTCTAGGATCTTGAAGGTGTATGGGAATTTGCTTGATAGTAGCCCAAATAGGGAAGAGAGGGCTTTCTTTAGATTGTAAGTATGAAGGAGACCATTTGGAGAGATACAACCTGCCATCCAAAACCTTCCAGCTCCGCTTAGTAAGGAGTCTGTAATAATCTTCTTCTTCTGAAAAATTGATGAGCACCTGGAACCGAGTAAGAGAGCTGATCCTGAAGCCACCAAAATTTGCACGTTTGAGGCTCTCTGCAATATCAATGTTGTGGATAACTTTTGCCATTCTTCCAGTGACTCCATACTTGTATTTAGAGGAGAATTGCTGAATGTCATCATTGGAGAATGTGAGAACAGGCCCATTCTCCCCTTCATCTTTGATCTGACCAAAGTGGTTGGGTCCTTTGATTACTTCCGAGAAGAGTTTTCGTAAGCCATTCTTCTTGGGTTGCTCCGGCTTAGTGGCATTATTCTGATTCCAGGTATTGGGTTCATGTACCTGATTACCCGCTGGAGTTCTCGACGGAAGTCTCGCCGGACCTCTCTCTCTCATGTTATCATCATATCATATATATATATATATAAAATTTTATATTTCATCATTTTAATTATATGATAATTATTGATGTCAAAAATAAAATATGATATATTTCAAATATGGGATGACCGAAATTTCAAGAGGAAAAATCCAAGACCATTTTGATTTTATAAATAAAGTATTTTTAATGTCAAATTGATATATTTGATTATTATTTGATGTAGGGATTCTATTTTGTTTGGTAGCAAAGATATTAAACATTTACACATGGTGTTAAGATATATACATGGACTTATGCTTAACATTAATTTCCTAGCAATTTCCTAAATATACTTTATTATAAAATGAGGTCTTGATTTTTAATACACACACCATAACTTTCGGCCATCCCATTTTAGAGAGAAGAAAATTTTATTTTGTGTTCAAAGTTATTTTTCTAAAGTGTTAGAAATATACAAAAAATATTATACACAAATATTTATAAGATAAATATTTTACTATATATTTATTACTCCCAAAGTAGTATTATTATAGTTTTTACTATCCTATATTAAACTTGCTAGCACAAGTTTAATCTAGGACTCCAGAGCAAGTTCGTGTGGATACGTTGGAGGCTTCATACGTTTGGCGCTACGTTCATCTCCTCAAAACCATCCCCGACCGTTTCTTCGTTCTTCGTTTTTCACCGTTAAGGTAAATTTCTTATTATAGCTAGTAATTTACGTAAGTTGTTCTTGGGTGGAATTGAGTTTTGGACTATAAATTTTTGTTTTCCGCTGCGTTATCCAAGCCTTGTTTCCCAATAGTGGTATCAGAGCCGGCTTACGAAGTTACTAGTTTAGTAGTTTTTACCGTTATTGTTTTTGTAGATTAGTCAATAAATTTTGGAGACAAAAATTTATACCATTATAAAATTTAATTAGGTGGCCATATTTAGATACTGGACCTAATATAATTTTGTTCAGTAATTTTCGGAATTACTGTTTGTGGTATTTTTATATTATTCTTATTAAGTAGTTTATGTGTAGAATACTTGTTATTTGTGACATAAATACTTTGTATTTATGAAAATTAGATTTCATATTTTCTGGGATGTATTTGACATGTCAATATAACTAAGAAATTTTAAAATCGATTTTTGGAATTAATTTCCTATTTTTCTATTTTTAAATTCGTTTATTGAATAGAAAATAGGAAAACTTATTTTTGACGATCAAAAATTAATTTTAATTCATAATCAGTTGCGAGCAGATATTCTAAGCTTGTATAAAGATTTTCATAATTTTTAAACACGTAAGAGTATTTATTTTGTATTTTTGAAGTAATTGGATCGGTACTATTCACTAGTCCGATTTTTAATTATTTTAAATTGCAAAATTAATATTCTAAATTCTGGAAAAATCATATTCTGGTTCTGGAACTTATTTTTACTTGAAAATTAAATTTTTTTATTTTTGGAATTTCGAAATATATTTTCACAATATCATTTCGGTTTTCTAGCTATGGAAAAATGGTTTTTTAAATTTTATTCATTCTGGAATTTTTGGATTTCCAGATTAATAAAGTTTACTGAGAGTCTCCAATAATTAGTTGCTAATTTAGAAAACATATATATATTTAATTCGAAATAAAATCCCTTTTTCAAATTTAAATGTATATATACGGTAAATATAAAATATTTTATTTTCTGGAATTTAGAAAATGAAATTTCTAACATTCTTGAAATTTAAAGTATTTTATGATTTCTAATTAAATTAATTGCTAGTTTAATTAATTTATTGTTGATAGTTTATTCCGTAGAATAGAATAAACTAGGTCTGGGGCGAGCGCGGTTCGCCTGGTGTATGCTTTAATATGTATGATGTGATGCATGTGATGCTTGTATGTATTATTGCATGGTGGATGATTGTGGCTTAGTTATATTTGTTGTAATTTTAAATACGGCCTGCGTGTCGTGCCTCATCTCTATACTCTGGATGTAATTCTCTTCTTTACCTAAAATATTCTTTTCTCTCGAAAATTATAAGAAGATAAGAAGACGAAGTCCGTTCGTGATAGAGAATCCTAAGGAAGACGTGATGGGCCGGAGATAGAGATCTCTTGATCAAGGCGCTGTCGTTTGTTTTTCTTTAGGAGCTACAATCATTTCACGTTTACTTATTATGCATGTGATGTATGATTGAATGTATGCATGTATGTGATTTTCGCTAGTGCATACGCACGGTGTATGCCATAAGCAAGACTGCGTAATAAATCCCTCATAATTTTAAGTCTATGCCACCCCGACGCCCCGTCACTAGTCAAACCCAATTTAGATCGGTAACGGGCTCACCCAAGTGAGACGCCCGGTTTACGTTGGTTAGGCGCGAAACCCGTAACTTGGGTACTGACTCGCCCCGGGTTAGTCTTAACTAAGTCTTGGTCATAAGGATGAGAGACTTAGGGCACTGCGGTAGGATCAATAAATAAAATCAGATCATCCAATCAGAGTTGTAAATTGTTACAATTGGAATTTATTCCTACCAGAAATAATTTAACTGTAGGGCAAGATGCAAAGCACAACTATAGTTAAATGAAATATGGATCTGACCCAATTAAGAATTTTATTTAAAAGAATCCACCGAACCAAGAGTTGTAATAATGATTGCAATTGGAATGAATTCCTACCTAAATAACTTGACTGTAGGGCAAGATGCAAAGCACAACTATAGTTAAGTAAAACATGGATCTTGGCCCGCTAGGGTATTCTTCAAATAGAAACCCCAAGTCAATAGGTTCCGTACCTGAGGGTAATTGACTTGTTAGAAATAGTGGGAGAGTATTTAATAAAGACCTATTAGATACTTAATTCATGATAATAACTATCTTCGCAAAATTCTGTAGATGGCAAACAACAACAACACAAACAACCTCGCCCTGCGTTCCATTCTGGATAAAGATAAATTGAATGGAACAAACT